GCTATGCGCTGTCGACTGACGGAAAGCTTCTCGCAGCATCATTCGACTCCAGTGCCAGTGATATCTTTGTATGGCGGCTCCCCGATGGTCTGCTGGTTCAATGCCTCCGTAATGAGCACCATGGAAATGCTGTTGTATCCTTGTCATTTTCCCCCAACGGCCCCGCTATCGTCTTACTAGGGTCTTACTTCGACGAGACCTCGATCGTCTGGGATGTTCAACATGGCTGTGTACTCCGACATCTCATCGGACGTCATTCGCGGGTGTTAAACTCTACGTACTCCCCCAACGGCGCACTCATTGCCACAGCTGACACGGCAGGATCTGTGAAGATTTGGGACACCTCAACCGGCGCATGTCTGTATACCCCCGATCTCGATGAGCACGTGTACCAGGTCACCTTCTCGCCAGATAGCTCGCGTCTATGCCTTCCTGCAAGGTTCTCCTGTTTCCTTTACGACATGCAGTCCTATAAGCATATCGCTACATTGCGCCACAGTGGGCATGACCCAGCCGGCTTCTCAATGTCCCGCCAAGGGGATCGCATAGTCACCGGAGCTATATACCTCAGGAATAGCGTGACGGTTTGGGACGCGGTAACCGGCCAAAAGCTTCTTACAATCGACGACGAGAGAAAGCCGACAAGCCCTGTAGCATTCTCCCCAGACGGTGCCGAGGTGCTGGCGGTTTGCCAGGGGGACCAAATGGCCCTCGCTTTCGACTCGCGGACGGGCCAGCCACGCCACACCTTCGAGCTGTCATACGTGCCCCATCGTGTTGCATACTCTCCGAACGGAGATTACGTTGTTTTTGCAGATGATCGCGGTAGTCTCGAGGTGTATAACGCGAAGTCTCGGACGTTCGTCGGAAAGAGCGAAGGATTTTGGGATGACGCAGTACTACAGGAAGTTGTTTTTTTACCCGACAGTCAGACTATCCTGTCGCATTTCTCGAGGACCCCAGGCTCTCATGAGCCTCTCCGTCTATGTAATATCCAGGATGTAGTGCGATTGCGATAGTGTCTAGCAGTTTGCTGAGCTCAACCCATTGCGCTGTGTTGCGTGGAACAGTCAGACATCCGGCGTGGGGTAGAATTTAATCCAGGCATCAGAGGACAGTCGGGGCGACGACCACGCATGCCAGGTCTCGCCGGCGGTGCACTGATGGCACACGACGGCAAGGCTTGTGAGGCTGACGCATGGGCTGCTATGCTCAGCCGACGCGAGGAAAATACCGCAGAACACAACTCACCAGAAATGACCGCCATCCAATCTTTCGTGAATTGTTAAGACGTTCTCTGACGTGACATACGTAAGCTTTGAAGGCATCGGATGTGCGCCGCGGCGACAAAAAGACGGCACCATGCTGCGTGGCAAGTGTCAGAGGGCTCGCATCAGAATAGTAATCTGCGACCATGGGGAAAGAAGCATTTGAACATCAAGCCTTCAGCTTGAGTACTCGAGTACTCAGCCGGCAGTACAATACAGACTTCGTGTACGTCGAGGTGTGGATAGCGAGACTGGGAGAACACACCACTGGCCGAAGCTGCTGAACGGGGGCAGGCGGCAGGCGGCAGCTTGCCACTCTATTATTCTCTGCACGAGGTAGCGCAGGCCTTCCGGTCGTATGACCCAAGTTGAAGCGATAGCCTGGCGGCGACGCTGCGAGTTCGGGCTCGCAGCGCCGCTCTTTCAGCAGACAGGCTCTGCACTGCAGTGGACGATAACTGAAGCATCGAATGCATACGGCTCAAATCAAGTGTGCATTCGGAGCGTGCACGAACAGAGTAGAGAAGAGAAGCGGCCTACGGTCGGCGCCTAGCATCAGGCGCCCAGAGCCAAGGAGGAAACGGGCAACTGCGGTCTCGGCTGGTCTGAAGTTTCGTTCGAGCGCAAAGAAGAACTCATCGAGTCTGTTTCAATATGATTTATATTTCCCGCTCCGAATACATGTATCCGGCAGTGGCACATCACCTGCGACGGGACTAGTTCGTCCCGCCAGAAAAGGGGGCGCAAGACTCGGGGACGGCACGGGGACAGCAGAGCCTCTTCGTCAAACTCTCACTTCGAAAGAGCGTCGTACTCTTGCGCAAGGCGGACGGAAGTCGATGGCCTGGGGGGAGGGGGGGCGTCGGGTGATGCAGAGAAACACGAGCGACATGGCGCTCTGCGGACGCTGGCAGGCGCGTCGGTCTCCCTGCGAGGGGCGCGCGCACCTTCCCAGCGCTGCTCCCACCGGTCATCGAGGCGCGGCTTCCCAGATTTCCGGACCCTCTGGAGTTGCTGGAGGCCTGAGCGTGGCGCGAAAGTGCGCCAGTGCAGGTGTTTGGGTGCGGAGACGACCAAGGGACTGGGGACGTTGCGAGCGTTGGAGGACAAGGTCGTTCATGGCGGCGATTCATTGTAGCGACATCACCAGGATGCAACTTCAAAGGAGCATGGAAAGGGTATTATGTTTGATCTGCTGGTACGAGTCTTGGAGTGCCAAGATCGGTCGCCGCGAGCTAGCAAGCATCTAGCCTCTTCGCACACCCCATCGCTGCTTCGAGGCGTAAGCTCTCCAGCGCTGAATGTCTTCTCTTTCAAGCAAAGTGTCCACAGTGTACCAGCTCTTTGCAAGCTCTTCGTTGCTCGCGACGCGGTGGACGGTCGAATGGCACGGCCTGCCCCACCGTATGCATCGCATCAGCGGAGACATGCATGAAGAAGAAGACAACAGAACGCACCTGCAGAGCCATGCGACCGAGTTGAGCATCTCCTCCGGGTGCCACTTCTTCTTGAGCGCCTTTGCGTGCACCTCGCGCGGGATGAGGTGGTGGTACGTCAGCGGGACCTCGCGCTCGCAGATCTCACACTCTGTCGTCCGCGTCCTGGACCACACGGGCGGCGGCGCGCACGCTTCGGAGACATAGTCTTCCAGAATCTTGCGCAGGAACGAGAGCGCGCTGTCCACGTCGTCGCACATGCCGCACGAGGTCAGGCTGTCGACGAAGGTCGTCGGGGTGCTGTCCAGAGAGAGGTCATCCGCGGCAGGCACAGAGTCTCGGGTCTGGTATGTCGCGTTCCGCAGAGGCTCTGGAAGTGTCGGCCAGACCTCGGCGGCGAGGTAGGACGCGAAGTCGTCGAGCTCGCCGGGGTCGCTTGAGCCGTCGTCGAAGCCAGGTCTAGAGATGACGCGACGGGCGAGAGCGTCCTTGAAAGCATTGAACTGAGGGCTGCTCGCAGCGTCAGAAGCCATGCCAGGGCAGCGTCCGAGGGGCTCTTCGAACGAAAAGTTGGGACAAGCGGAGAACGGCGGTTTTGATGTCGATAGACGCTCGCTTTGTAGTGCTTGCTCTCGGCCTTGCTCTTTGTCAGCAACCTACAATCCAACTGGACTGGGCTACGACGAAGCTGAGGAGACAGACGAGAGGAAAATAGGTGAGGAAAGACCAGCTCGAGTCTGGCTTGTTATTGAGCAGTACGAGCTCCTTATATACATGTCAGACTGAGTATATAGAATATCCTACGAATATACGGAGGTGTATAGAAAGTAAAAGAATACCATGGAATCCGGGAGAACCACCCGGAATGCGTAATATTCATGACATTACCCCCCCGTCTAGAATCGTGTCCTCACGATTATTTACCAGTCGATCCAAAGCCTCCTGATCCTCGTTGAGTTTCCGTTAAACTTGACACCTCCTCGATATTACATGACGCAATGCGTTCCAAAATGACTTGTGCAATTCGATCGCCGGCGCGTACCTGAAAAGGTTGATTGGTGGAGTTGATCAACACTACGTGCACTTCTCCGGTGTAATCTCGGTCTACTACTCCAGCGCCGACATCTATCCCTTTGACCGCTAATCCACTTCGTGGCGCAATTCATGCGTAGGTTCTGTGAGGGGCATGTATTGCTATGCCGGTGCCGACAATCTTACGATCCCATGCCGGTATCCGAATGCTTTCAGCCGAGTAAAGATCAAACCCCGCCAACTCTTCAGTCCCTTGCTTCGGGAGAATTCCACCCATTTGTTGTACCAAGAGAGTGGTATCATGCGTGAGTATGTGAACGGGTCTTGTTAATAAAGGGGGAATTTGAATCGTCATAGGCGCGGGTTTGTCGGGACGTCTAGCATGGAATTTCTGAAGGAGTTCTTGACAGTTGGTCAAGTTCGCCCGTAATTCCCAGGAACGGCGATCGCCGTAGGGGCTGTTCTTCCAGAGCACCTGATACTCCAGGTTTCCGTTTCGATCACGACGGGAGTCAAGAATGTCTTCGACTTTCCATTCTTCCTCGCCATTTACGAGGTCAGGGATTATCGGCTCTCGTCGTTGCGAGGGATATGTGGGTTCTCGGAAAGGACTAAGAAGGCTTTCATTGAAAATGGGATGTTGTTTCCATTGACGCGGGAGTTCCAACTCATAGGCAGAAGCACCGATTTTGTGTTTGACCTTGAAGGGTCTGTATCGCTTATCGTCGAGCTTTTTCATTGGCCTGTCGGTTCGGATGTTTATCCCTTCTAGCCAAACTTTATCTCCTACTTTGTGCTCCGGTCCGCTCTTCCTCTTCCTGTCGTAGAAGCGCTTCATGGTTTCCTGGGCTAGACTGATGGCCGCGCTAGTGTCTTCGCATACTCAATCCATTCTGTTGACAAACTGTTGGACGTTCTCGCTTAATCCTTCTCGTACTGGTTGGGTTCCCTCATAAGGGTGATACCCTTTATTGACAAAGAACGGAGTATACCCGGTAGACGAATGGACTTTATTGTTATAAGAAAAGGCCGCGAGTGGCAACCATTCGGCCCAATCCGCTTGTCGGTAATTGATAAACAATTGGAGATATTGTTCTATCTCTCGATTAATGCGTTCCGTTTGTCCGTCTGTCTGGGGGTGATACGCGGTTGAAGGATTAGCTTCGATTCCAAGAGATCGGTACAATTCGGAGATGAACTGATTCTTGAATTCAGTTCCCCTATCGCTGATGATCTTTCAGGGTAATCCATGATGTGCAACGACGTTGTCTCGGAGTGCTTTTGCCCATCCTTCGGCGTTGAGCTCAATGGTACTTGATATCATAATTATCTGTTTAGAGTACATACAGACAATTACAAGGATAGCGTTGTACCCGAAGGATTCCGGTAGTACACCTATCTTGTCTATGGAGATTACCTCCCAGGGTCGCGAAGGAATTTCATTCGGGAATAGAAGTCCGGTAGGTCGTGTTGTATGAACTTTGGTCTTCTGGCACTTCTCGCATCTGGCCACGTATTTCCTGATATCTTCTTGAATTCGGAGCCACCAGTAGTTACGCGTGACCATTTCATGTGTCTTGTATTGACCAGGGTGTCCAGCCAATGGGGTATCATGGTGACGAGCAATGATCTGCTCACGGAGTTTTCTATTTACTGGCACGTAGATACGGTTCTTCCATGTCACGAGTCTGGTACTATCTTTGTTCCAGTCATTGTCCTTGTTCTGTAAAGCTACGGTAACTAGCGAATCCTGGTTCTTTTTGTATTTTTTAATTTCTGTAATCCAGTCCTGGTCGATTCCTGCTAAACTAAATACGGTACTATGAATTAGGGCACGGAAATGTTCTGATTTTAGTAACACGATATCTGAATTGTCCTCCTTTCCTGCATTGTGCCTCTTTTGGCGAGATAATCCGTCTGCTTTGCCATTAGATTTATTGGGCTTGTGATGCAACGAGTATTGGTATTCAGCTAACTCGGTTACCCATCGGGCCTGTCGCCGGTTGAGCTTCTGTGGTTTCCGGAAGTATTCTAGATTCTTGTGATCTGTCCATATTTCAAACAGATGTATGGCGCCCATGAGGTACTGACGCCACTCATCAAGACTAGTCATGATCGCGAGAAGTTCTTTGTCGTAAATCTCGTAATTTCTTTCAGCAGCTGTCATAGCTTTAGACAGGTAAGCAACGGGTTTCCATTTGCCATCTTGCTTCTGAGCTAATTCGGCTCCTACGGCAAAGTCCGAAGCGTCGCATTCTACTTGGTATGGATCGTTGTCGTTGGGTATAGCTAGTACTGGCGCTGTGCAGAGGGCATCCTTCAGGCTCGTAAAGGCTACTTCTTGATCGATAGTCCATTCGAAAGTAGCATTGCCTGTTAGTGAGCTGAGTGGTTTTGCTATTTTGCCATAGTCTCGGATGAATCTTCGGTAGAAGTTGGTAAATCCGAGAAACGCCTGGATATCTCGTTTGCACTCGGGCCGTGGCCAATTGACAACTCCTTCTATCTTGACAGGGTCCATGCGAACGACTCCTTTTCCTACTATCATCCCGAGGTATTCTATCTCTGCTTTCTCGAACTCACACTTTTCCGGTTTCAGATAGAGTTTGTGTTCTCTTAAGATCTGAAGAACTTGCCGCGTGATCCGACGGTGTTCTTTTAGATCTTGAGTGAAGATCATGATGTCGTCCAGATAGACTACCACGTGTCCTTGACTGATGAGATCTCGAAATATGTCATTCATCATAGTTTGGAATGTAGCCGGAGAATTGGTAAGACCAAAAAACATGACAAGTGGCTCGAATAATCCTCGATTCGTTAAGAATGCTGCCTTTTCTTTGTCTCCTTCTTTGATGCGGATGTTGTTGTATCCCCATCAGACGTCTAGTTTTGTAAAGTACCACGCCTGCTTCAATTTGTCCACTAGTTCCTGTATCAAAGGAAGTGGCTAGCGGTTTTTAATCGTCAGCTCGTTCAGCTTTCGATAATCTTGTACAGGTCGGAGTCGTCCATCTTTTTTCCTGACAAAGAAGAACAGAGAAGCCCACGGAGATTTTGATGGTCAGATTCTCCCGGTTCGGAGGTTCTCTTCTATGAACTCATCAAGTTCTTTCTGTTCGTTTACAGAGATAGGATAAACTTTGCAACTGATCGGTTGCGCGCCTGGTGTAAGTTCAATTGCATGGTCCCACGGTCGTCTTTGTGGTAAAGAGTCGAAGTCTTCTTTGCTAAATACGTCAGAGTAATCGTGATAGTGACTTGGGACGGTATTTTCAAAGGTCTTGGCTTTGTGTTTCAGGCTTTCTTTGATTGCCAGGTCCGTGGCTGTGGTACAAATACGTGCTGCTCCCATTGCAAAGTATGTTTCGTGGTCTAGGATGAAGATTCTATTCCCTTCTTCTAGGCGAGCCTCCGGATCGCTGGGCTCTTCCTGATCAGCATCAATATCAATTAATCGGGCAGCATATTTGCAGGCAATCGGGCACTGATCAAACTGAATGACTTGTTCCTGCCAATCGATAGACGGATTATGAATCTGTAACCACTCATATCCAAGGAAGATTGGAGTCTTCCCTAGATTAGTAACTGCAAACAGAAGTCGTTCTATATGATCCTGAATTTCCACCCTTAATTCGACAAAGTCGGTGATAGCGCCGCTGGCGTTATGTGTGCCATCTGCATTATAGACAGGGATCGGTGATGGCAGTTTCTTTGTAGCGATGTTGTTATCGCGGACAAACTGCACATCAATGGAAGATCCAGTACATCCTGTGTCTAATAGTGCTTTGACTGATAAGCGTTGCTGCGTGTCCAGGGTGGTTATGATCATGGGAACGTTCATCTGTGTCCCCTTCCTTCCTCAGATGAACCGAGGCTGCTTCCTTAATTCATTCAAGAAGTCTATAGCTTCTTCTTCTTTCATCTGCCTAATTTGGTTCATACAGGCTTCAGAGGCGTCAACACTCTTCTTTGAGTGTACCCATTCAGTCAGCAATCTAAGCGCCGAGGCTTCTTTGCTGATTATCCATTGGCGGATCCAAGCTGCTGTCCAAGGTGTGTGGCGCTGCCACTGCATAGATTCGGTCTGATGTTCTGGTGTAGGCAGTAATTTTTTATTCGGGGGAATTAAGCAAGAGGGTTGTGCCTCTCCGCGCCGCTCTGCGGACGCCCCTTTTTCTGGTATATACATAGGTACACCGAACCAAGAACACAGATAGTTTGTAAAATTATGTTCGGTCAACTCAGCTACGTGCCTGGCTGACCGCTTGCAAAACCCTTCATGGCCGCGCGAATTTCTTCGCGAATTGCCGCTTTCCAATCAAACGGTTCTGCCATCGCGGCAGGAGCTTCGTTGAGTGATGCTAGTGGTGTAAACGTATTGGCGGTGGGAGCTACTGTGGTTTCTGCAGCTCGTACTTGCTGGGCTTGTTGCCGATTGGGGCAATTACGCGAAAAATGTCCCTTTTCTCTGCATCGGAAGCAAAGACCCAAGCGTCGTGCCTGATCTAGCTCCATTGGCTGGCCTCTGCCGCCGAATGTGACGCCTGTCCCGTCGCGGCGTGTTTGGACTGGGGCGCTTGCAGTGGGTGCGGCTGTGTTAGCCTGTGCCCGTGGTGCACTTTGTGCCTGCTGCTGCCAAGGTTGAAACTGTCCTTGCCGCTGGGACTGTGGGTTCCGCCGATGGTACTGCTGCTGATTCAGGTTGATGCGTGCGACCCGTTGTTTGTAGAGTGCATATGTAGTGGGGAGTTCTTCCGACGAATTGTAAAGAAGCTGAATGATGTCGGCCCGGAGTGCTTTTTCTGGGGGCAACTTGAGTTCCTGGAAGTGCGCTTCGAAATTGTGAATGTTCGCCTGGAAGGCGCATAACTCGAATTTCGAGAAGAACTCCTGTGCCGATAACGTCCCCATCTGCATTGCTTGCAATCGGTCGTAGGCTTCGGCCTGCTCGTCGATTAGGAAATGCTTATCTAAATCTGCCCATAGTTCCGTTGTGGTCTGGATCACTGTGTCTTCATCAGTGTCGTATTTTTTCATGTATGTGGCGACGTATTCGCCAGCATGGCCTCCTTTCATGTAGGACAAGATCATTAAGACCCTGTCGAATTGCTCAGGTAGTCGCTTCCTTTGCGTAACTACGTAGAGTTTCATTTGTGTCTTCCAAGCGATATACTTGGACTTCGTGCCATCGAAGGCATTGCGCTTCATTGCGCTTCCATTTATGAGCGCGGCATTGTCTTAGTTCTTGGCCATCGGGCCGGGATCAGATGGAGACGAAGGTGGAGTGGGAGAACGTCGAGAAGGCAGATTCGATGCTTCAGAATCCTCTACGGCTTCTTCTACAGGGTCTGGTGGTCCCTCTGGCGGTACTTCGGATTCTCCGAGGGCAATTGATCGGAGATGTTCGGTGACTGAATCGAGGGTGTCGCGTCTTCCTCTGGGTTCTAAGGTAGATGCTGTGGGTTCGGGGTTTGCGAGGGACTCAGAAGGTTCTCCGGTGTTTACCCTTGTTACTAGTTCTCTGCGTAATCCCTCTTCGCACCGTGGGCAACGAGTACTATTATGTGGAGAGTGCGGGCACGTAGGGGCACCGACAAAGGCAGTAGTACACCACACAACGCGACACCGGGGTGTGGCGACAGCTGGCGTGTCCAGCAGCACGACGCCGCCGCAGTGCAGAAGAGTGTCATGAATATTACGCATTCCGGGTGGTTCTCCCGGATTCCATGGTATTCTTTTACTTTCTATACACCTCCGTATATTCGTAGGATATTCTATATACTCAGTCTGACATGTATATAAGGAGCTCGTACTGCTCAATAACAAGCCAGACTCGAGCTGGTCTTTCCTCACCTATTTTCCTCTCGTCTGTCTCCTCAGCTTCGTCGTAGCCCAGTCCAGTTGGATTGTAGGTTGCTGACATTAGCTCGAGTCTCCACCAACTGCCTTACGACGATCCTCATCACTCCCACTCCAACCATCACCCATCTCCACACGACGATCCACTCTATACACACATCCGACTCTCACCCTAACTCCTAACCCTACCGAATTCTACCGCATCAAAACCTGGACCCCTGGAACCCTTCTCCGTGCATTTGCACAACTTTTACCACATCACACCCTGAAATCCCCTCTGTAATCACTAGCCCTTAGGCGGCTAGACAGAGCTCCGTCCAATTAGAAGCATACCCTGCCCTACCATAGGCAGCGTTACACGCTTTGCAGCAGGCAAGCGGATATTCCTGAGTACGACGTGGCAACCGGTTGCGGCCAGGCGTCGGAAAAGCGATAACAGTTAGATCGACGATCCCTTTCCGGGCGTCAGACCGAAGAGAAGCAATCACTCTTTGGGCTGTTATACTATCTCTAGAACTGTATTAAAATAGCGTTTTGATTCTTTTCAAAAATTCCTTTCTTTGGCAAACTCTACCCCTGATCTGGTCGTTACAACACGATTGGTCCCAGGGTTTGCTGCAATCAGCTTCACGGACCCAATAGCATATGACAACGCTCTCCTGTGACTGTAGAGGATATCAACATCGAGTACTAGGAGAGAGAACTATCTACAAACGCGGAGATCCCGTACGATACTATGTACAACAGCTCGTCATTTTTTGTGTCAATGAGCTCCTACAAGCGCTGCGGATGACAACTGCGCGCACCAGCGTGACAATCCCTCAACGTTATCAATTCGTATCAGCGACCTCTCGTAAGAGAAAATAACCAAGAGAACCCAGCTTAATTCCCTGCAGATGCTGTTTGAGCTTTCTGGGGTACCGCTGCTAGTGTTGGCCGGTCACGAGCAGGCCCTGTCTCCGAACTCCGAGTCGGTGTTGACAGTTGAAAATCCAAGTGTTCCCACAATTTGCATATGGATGAACATTGCCTCGAGAATGCACACAAAGTGTGCGCTCTCGTGCGGCGCGCATCCGATCGGCCTCCGACCGCCCTGCTCCACATGGACAAGGCTGTCACGAAATAACCGTGCTGCGTGCCTCAGCCCGCTCAATGTGACAATGTGATGCGAGCCCGCCTCGCCACCTGGAAAAAATTAATACGGGCGCTCTACTGATTGCCACGATGAGCGTACCAGACCGAGCGCAGAGCGCACTTCACAGCGGCTGCGACCTTTATCGCCCTCACCAGGCGCTCGCAGAGCTGTTGCAACACAACGGTCTTCTATAACACACACGAAAATTTTCCGTCGTCCTTGCCATGATGAGCAATGCTTTTGTGGAGTTGTAGCAGCCCAGGAAGATTTCATTCAGTGAAACAAATACAGTTGCATGAAATAGGTACAGTGTATGTGGGGTATCCGAGTATCAAATGCCGAGCGTCCACCCAGCTACTTTCGCAGGCGAGCATACACCGGAAGGCCGTTGCGCGAACAGAGCGTGAAAGACGGTTGGAAGTCCATCTCGAAGCCTGGTTCTAGCTCGAGATCGTACCGCTTGAAGAGCGTCGCGAGCGTCAGGGACATCTCGAGCATCGCCAGGCCCTCTCCTGCCAGACACAACGCCGATGAGACACGACGGCGCCCAAACAAAACAAAAAAGACACGCACCCATGCACTTGCGCGGGCCATATGAGAACGGGAAATACGATCCCGGCAGGGCCGCCTTTTCGTTCCCCTCGCCCTGCGTGGACATCCACCGCTCGGGGCGGAACGTGTCCGCGTCGGCGCCCCAGACGTTCGGACACCGGTGCACTGCGCCCCACCAGGCGTCAGCCTCGCGCACGCCAGCAAAAAAGAAGTGTCACGCACCTTGCGGGTTCCACAGTGCGAGCGTCGTGTTCGCCGGGAGCACGACGCCTTCGATCTCGACGTCGGCGGGCGTGTACCGGAACGTGCCGAAGCCGGGCCCGTTGTAGCGCAGCGTCTCTTTGATCACGAGGCGCAGGTACGGCAGGCGCGACACCTGCTCGATGCTCGGCACGACGCAGTCCGCGGGAAGCAGCGCGTCGAGCTCGTCCCGGAGCTTCCTGTGGATCGCGGGGTTGCGGAGCTGGCGATGCCCCTTTTCGTCAGCGGGATTGGTCATGTAGAAGGAACGCGGTGAGGCGCACAATTTCGTACACGGCAAAAGTCATCGTGTGTGCCGTGGGATCGCCGCCGGCGACGAGGAACGTGACTTAGGATACGAAACATGAGCATCATACGTCATGTAGAACCGAAAATCATCTCACCGTAGTTGTCCACCAGCTCCTCCTCAGAAAAGAGGTACTTCCCATCCGGCCCTCGTTCCCTGCAGCGCGCGATCAGCTCCAAAGGCAGAAAACAACAAGACGGACGCCTACTGCGCGAGAATCTCAAAGATCTTTTTGCCCTTCTCCGCTCCACAGTCCTTCTCCTGCGAATCCTCGTGCGCCCGACGGGCGTCCTCGACAGCAGCGCGCGCCATACCACGCAGCTCCGCGATCGCGCGGTGCATGGCGCGCGTGCTCTCGAACACGGGCACCTTGGCGCGCAGCGGGAAGAGCCCGCACTTCATGAGCTCGGGCAGGACGGCGTGGAAGATCTGGAGGATGCGGCACGCCGCGCCGTCGCGCACGGCGCGCAGCTCGGCCCCGAACGCGACCTCGCCGACAAAGTCGAGCGTGAGCAGCACGTGCAGCTGCGCGAGGTCGACTGCTCGGCCGCGCGCCGCGGCCGAGCGGTCGATCGTGTCTGCGAATTGCTGGGACCGCAGCGTCAGCCACGGGCCCAATCGGGAGGAGATGGGGGATGAGGGGACGCACGAGGAGGTACTTGTGCAGCGCGGGGTACTGGGCGTGCACGGTGCGCGGCTGGAAGGCCGGCGCGAGCCCGCGCCGCTGCGTCTTCCACCGCGCCTGGTCCATCTGCGCGAAGAGCGCGCTGCCGCTGAGCGGCCGGAAGCCGGCGTACTGCGCGGGGAACTTGGGCCAGTTCTCGTTCGCGATCTTGCGGATCAGACGCGGGTCGCCGACGTAGATCACGCGCGAGAAGAGACCGTTCCACTGTGGTCTTTGTTAGCTGCTGCATGAGAGAGTGGGGGGAGGGCGGGGAGGGCGGGGAGCGGGACACGCACGGTTTGGTAGATGGGCCCGTACTGGCGGTGCCAGCGCCGCCACTTGTCGTGCACGTCCTCGGTCATCGTCTCGTCCAGGTTGCCCTTCCAGATATTGGTGACCGGCGGGCCGGGGAACTGGCGACGCGCCTTGATGTAGGCGTACACGAAGAGCACGACGCGGGCGATGAGGAGAGCAGAAGCACATAGGACGACCCGTGCGGGACTCAACCACTCACGCAGGTCGAGCCCCAAGTTAACGATTGTGCCAGACATGACGAATAAGAGGAATGGTTTTCTTTTTCTTCCGCCTATGTTCTTGGCAAGATTTTATATTGCAACTTTGCGGGCGCCTGGTGGGTGCGAGACATGTGAAGGGCCGGCGACAAGGATCGCAGCCGCCGTTGGGACATGCGCCCCGTTTGATGTGCCTATCGCTGAGAATCGTTGTGTCGCCCGCAGTGCCCCAATCTCCGAGCTGGGAGGCTTCGTCACATTAAATCGAAGAGGCTCCGACCGGCACCTAGCCGCGCCCGGGCTGCTCAAGTTTAGGCTAGAGGCCAACGGAGCTGTTGCTGCAGAGCAATGCGCACGTTTCCTGCGCAAATTGCGCAGATTGCTGCTGCGAAAGGGGAGTTCCTAGGGCCGACATCGGAGGCGGTCATGCCACCTGTTTGTCACCGGCTAGCCACGAGCGATAAAGCCCCAGAAAGCTCGACCGACATTCTGCACTTCACAGAGATCATAGTCGGGCTCCTTAGGATGTTTTACGTGTGTGGAGGTGGGGACGACTCCCGAAATGAAATGGTAGCCAAGCGACATCAACGGCCACCGCAGCGGGCATCGTCTAGTAGCGTATTTTAGAGCTAATAAACGAGACGGTTAAACGTTAAACTACGGAGCATTAGCCAAGGCGTCGTGACACGTCACCTGATATTTGAGGTTTGTTGACACTCCGGTAGGCATCGCATGCAGGGAGCAACCCTAGTGAAGAGTCAATCTGGCGGAATGGAGGCAGAATGTAGCCGACATACCCTGTTTGATATGCCGTTTGGGATCAATCTACCCCTGGTAAGCGCGGTTTTTTTATTACTAGGAAACCCGGCCAAAACTCGGAAAAAGGGACCAATTTTTCACAGTGGGGAAATTAGAACACAAAATAGCGCAAAATCGGATAAAAGAGGTCAGTACAAAAGGAAGTTCTATATCCGAGCTCTCTCGGATGAAACTGGTTAAACACAGGCTCTTGTTTGCCCAACTTTTGAATGATTATGCAAGTAAAAACTGCATTCGCCACCTAGAGTATGCATGTGGAACCAATATAACGAAATTTACCGCACATGTAACACCCACGGCCTGATCGGCCTCGGACTGAGACATGCCCTCCTGTTCTGTCTCGCCTTGTCTTCTCTGTGAATGCTCTGGCACACCCTGATTCAGATTGTGCTGACTGCAAACCGGTTGTGTCAACCCCTCTACAGCTTTACTACCCTCCCAGAGAGCTGCTTAATCGATCTTTGAAGGATTTTATCTCGAGCAACGTTGGGCAGGACGGCGACTTCGCAGCTTCGGACTCGAGCCCGCCGCTTGACAAAGAGCCGAGCGCCACAATGCGATCGCGGATCAGCAGCGCATCAATTTAAAGTCTTGGCGCCATGAGCTGAGCGCCCCAGACCTTGGTCTCTCCCGTCACTCCCCCTACTTCTAGCAACCTCTCGCCTTGTCGCCGAACATGTCGCAGACCGATACGTTGTCTACTGCCTCGGCGAATGAAATAGAGATCAATAAGTCCCCTGTGGTCACGGCCGAGGTTGAATACCCTGAAGGCGGCCTGCACGGCTGGCTCGCTGTTGCAGGCTCGTTTTTGGTGTACTTCGCTTCATTTGGGGTCATCAACAGTTTCGGTGCCTTCCAGGTGAGCTGCCGTATTTTCCACTAGGAGTACATGCTTGCTAACCACGCTTGAAGACCTTCTACCTTGATGACTACCTGTCAAACTACACCGCTATGGTGATTGCATTCATTGGAGCGCTGCAGATCACGCTACTTTACGTCTTCGGCATTATCACTGGTCCTCTGTTCGATGCGCTCGGACTCAAGGCAAGCAGCACATCGTGAGTGGTGTGAGCAGCTGCTAACCTTTTCCTAGTACCTCTATCCCACCGGCGCTCTGGGCAGTGTGCTGTCGCTAGTCGCTCTGTCTTTCACCCATCCCCAGCAAATCTGGCAGCAGTTCCTCTCCCAAGTGTGTAGTGTTGTGCGCTTATCAAGATTACCCGCTGATAGAGACTGCGCAGGGCGTTCTCTTCGGAATCGTGGTAGGTTTCGGGACTTACCCAGCCCTGGCGGTCGTCGGTCAGTACTTCAAGGCCAAACGCGCTCTCGCGATGGGTATTGTCGCCGCGGGAAGCAGTGTCGGCGGCGTCTGCCTCCCTATCATGGTCTCGCGGCTCTTCAGGACGATCGGTTTCGGTAGGAGCACCAAGGATCGTTCCATTATCACCAGTGTCTGAGACGATCTTCCTTTCGCTGTAGCGTGGACGGTAAGAGTTGCTGCTTTACTTACGCTGTGAGTATGATACCATTTGCGAGATTTCTCCCGCTGTTAGTAGACGAACACTGATACTTATCTGCATTCCACAGATTCTGTTACGCTGTCGCGATACTCATCTCCCGCACCAGACTGCCTAGGAAGCCGCTGCCCAAGCCTCAACAGCTCGTCGATTTTGGTGGATTCAAGGACCCTCGGTACCTCACACTTGCCATAGGATCGGTCTTGGTCAACTTGGGGTTGTATTCGCCTTACTATTACATTGGTGCGTATTGCGCCAACTAGCTATTTAACAGCCATTCAACCCTGCTATTGCAGAACCATACGCGATTCAGTACGGCGTCTCGCCCTCGATTCACGTCTATCTGCTGTCTATGATCAACGGGCTGTCGTTCTTCGGACGTATCATGTATGTCACTTCGTCTCCCGTTTTACCAGCCGTGTCTAACCTTCAGAACAGCGGGGGACAGCTCGCGGATCGTTATGGGCGTCTGAACATCCTCTGCCCAAGCACCCTGCTCTCCGGTGTCCTCTGCCTGGCGCTCTGGCTCCCGTCTCAGGGCCCAGTGCCTTTGGTCATCTTCGCTTGCGCCTACGGTAAGCTCTCCACCTCTTACTACCCGTCTCCGCTAATTCTATTCGCAGGATTCTTCTCGGGCATCTTCATCTCCGTCATCTCCGCCGCAGTTGGTCAAATATCTCCGGTTGAACGTCTTGGTGCACGTATCGGGACGTTCTCCCTGCCCACGGCGATTGCCACCCTCGTCGGCACGCCCATCGGTGGTGCATTCGTCAAGGCTGGCACCCGTGACGAATATCACCATATCGCTGTATTTGCGGTACGCGCCGTCGATGCTGTCTAAGATGCAACGTGCTAATCTTGTAATACAGGGTGTCACGATTGTCGCTGGAAGTGCTTTTCTCTACGTTTCGCGCATCTTGTCGTCTAGGGATTTGAAGGCAAAGTGGTGAGAGCATAGTCGAGAAGCTGGTTTAGTAGGGCGGCGAACGTCGTGCATTGCATGTACGGATATCGATCATTGTTTCAGTCAGGTCTCAAAATGCACCTCGCTTTGTGACATTCTTTCCAAATTCAGAAATGCTTGTTGCATTGGTCACATCAAGGCTGTCCTTTGTTCGCTCGGGTTCGACGGGTCCGTTGTCCGTGCGCTGTGTAGGTTCTCTCATCAAACCCTCATCTCGTCTGTTCCCCTGCGCTACCTTGGGCCTGCATCATGTTCGACGACCCAGAGACTTGCATCCGATTCGACATCCAGCACGCCGACGAGGCAAACCTCCTCAACATCGTGACCCAAATCGCAATTGCGACCTACAAGCAATGCGCCGCCTCGCCACCGCGCGCGCTGGACGGCCACCGCCACTGGGCAGTCCTCCACTACGCCCTCCGCACACCTCCCGCGCGGCCGTACCTGTGGCTCATGTTCTGGGAACGCGTGGAGCACGCAACAGGCGCAGGCCAGGACGCGGGTCAGAACGCGAACGCGCCACGCGAGGCCTGCCACTTCGTCGTCGACCTCGCCTGGCACATCCTGCACGACCGCGCGACGAACCGCTTCCACCGGCTCCTGCCCGAATGGGGCCCGAACTACGACACGGTACGTGAGCATGGCCGACAGCTCCTCCTCGCGCAGCACGAGCACGGTTGCGAGCGCGCGCTGGCGCATTTCGGCGGCGTCACCAGCGGGAGCCTGAGGCGCCGCAGGAGCTTTGGTGTGCCTCTGGCTGTGGAGCTCCCGCCTGAGCCGGTCATGCTGAACGAAGGCAAAAGTTGGGAGTCGTGGAGACATGGACCGGCTCCGGAGCCAATACCCCGCGTGGAGGAGCCAATTGAGTTTCCGGACCAGGAGGAAGGGTATGACGGACAGGACCCCTACGATTTACCGGGAAGTGACGATGATCTTGAAGGACTCGATGAGCTAGAATGGGTAGAGAGGCTGGGACTTGAGGGCTGTCATCTCGGCGTTTCCTTTTGATCTGTGGAACTTACTGTAGTTACCGACCAATACTGAGTGGCGGCTCGGGATACGACGAGGGCGCATCAGATCATTTTTGATGCGCCTCCGCCCATGTACCTGTTTCAGTTTTCTGGCAATTGTTCGCTTCAACCTCTAACAACTGCACTTCAGCGTGCCGGTGAGCCTTCATTCTCGTTAAGCCTTTGGAGCCTACACGTGCAGTTGAGGTCCAGTATCCCTATAGATTGTCGTCAATACTTGGGAACGAGGGTATGGCTGACCTGGAAGCATCTAGTATGGCGCTAGATCCTGGGCATCGAGAGACCCAGCAGCCCACGCGCCATGAGTCGCCGTACTTTGAAGATGGCGATCTTGTTGTCCGTGCTGCAAACGAAGACGCGACACTGGCCGTCTTCAGGGTTCACACCGCAATTCTCGGACGGTTCTCGCCAGTCTTCCGCGACATGCTCTCTTTCCCATGGACGACGCAGGAAGAGAGGCGTACGATGGAATACCGCTCGTTCATCTACATGATGATGCGAAGTATGTCGCACATTTGATGGAGTCTCTGTATAACCCCGGGTGCGTCTCATTCGCGTTCTTGTGTTCCATGTCGGATTTGTGCCTGCTCTCTGACTATCTCGGCGCGCAACAGATTTCCAATATTCGAGAACTTGAATACTGATTTTCCTGTGAATGCATGGGGTCTTATGAACCTTGCGACGAAGTACCAGGTCGATTCTCTCTGCAAACGAATCGCGAATCACCTAGAACAACAGTGGCCACAAACACTGGAAGCCTATGTTCAGGCGCAGCTGACCATACGGAAGGCGTATGGCTCTCAATGGATGCTCAAAGCACCTCTTAACCCCGGCGGTGTGTTGTCCGAGCGTTCGATCTACCTAAGCTTCCCTGAACCAGGGGCGGCTATCCGCTTGGCGACCGACTTCGATATCCCTTCCATTCTCCCTGCCGCATTCTACTCGCTGTCCACCTCAGGTCCCGCGAGGGACTGGGAATCTGCGCGGGATATCGCATCTCATTCCCTCACCACGCGTCCTGCGAGGTGGGAACTCCTGAACGACGATAATCTCCTCCGTTACTATCGAGCGAAGTATTCGTTGAAAAAGAAGCTAGCCCAGCTGTCGAATGTGCTCCGTGACATCTTCAGCGATCGTGGCGACAACCCGTGCACCGGAGAGTCGCCTTATACGATTGATGATAATGAAATGACATTGTCACCATGTATAACCATCGTACTCAAAGTCATCGAGACCGGGATGCGCAGCAAGGCTGAAGATACAAGCGATGCTCTGGGTGTCGTACAGGGTGCAGACCCCTTGATGAAGCTTTTCGACCTGACGGCGGACGTCGACAACTGGGAGCTGTGCATGCGATGCGCGGATGCCGCCAAGAAGCGGCTTCTGGAGCGAATGCACGCTTTGTGGAACGAGTTGCCGGAAATCTTCAACCTTGGAAGGGTGCGTCTGCAGTTGCCATATCAATTAAACGCTCTTTCTGAAATCACTATATAGCTATAGTTTGGAACATGAGGCTTTTGTGCACTTGTGCACGTACTCGCTTGGCTGTAATGTAGGGCCTGTCGTCTAACGGCGGATTATTATTCACTTACTGCCTGGGTCGGGCCTCTTTATGACTGACTGCGTCGCGAATAAACGCCAAAATATCGTACAGCCTAAGCAGCGAGCACGCCTCATTCACCCACGCAAGTGCTTAATCTAATTTGAAGGAGCTTGATGAAATAGGTCTTGGATTACAGGAGAGCGCGCATTCGTGAACGGCGCTAGCTTCGCCGAACTCAAGCGCATCCGTTTCAGACGAGGGGCGCATCAGATCATCTCGATACAGGAGAACTTTTGAAACTTGTACTTATACGATTATCTCAGCTGCCAGCTAGTGTAATAGCAGTATTACTAAAAGGTTTATATCCTCCTTGTTCCCAAGCAGTGAATGTTGACAATCAAATTACAGTCACAATAGATACCGTTATCATGGGTGATATGCTGCTTGGACTTGGCGAAGGGGAGCAGCCTCCGTGACATGAAACCCTCTACTTTGAGGACGGAGACCTCGTTACCTCCGCCATAAGCGTACGGTACTTTCCGTCTGGAATGAACCGCCAGACATTTGGACCAAACGCAAAGTGAGCTTGCACGTCTCTTCGGCGGTCGTCATGACCCAATTGTATGTCCAGCACGGCGTGAACTAGCAGAAACACGGGCTTGTCTTCAACTTATGCCGATTGCGAAGCAGCCGAAGCTACTAACGCAGCAGAGTCCGAAGTGGCTGCTGGTGCCCGGGTTCGCCGGCTTCTCCTTCTTGAGTTGTAAACTTTGTCGCCAATTATACCTGTGATTCAAAGTGTTGATTCATGCGTTTGGACGGTGCAATTTGTATTCGACAGGTTCCAGGGCTTTATTGTTGCCTCTGGAGCATTAGAACAATACACGATACAAGAGCGGCAATCAATTGACGCGCCCTCCAATCATCATCATCCCCATCGTGATGCGCGCAACTGTAAGTTCGTTTTCGACCATGACCACCCCAGCCATTATTCACGACAGCAAATTCTACCTCCCAGATGGAGATCTCGCGATGTGCTCGTCTTCCTCACAGGAGGGCTCAATGACGATTTTCCGCGTCCACAAGCCCGTGATGGTGTACAATTCACCTGTCTTTCGGAGCATGCTTGACTTGCCTGTGGCCCTAGAAGGCCAGGAGAGGCATGACGGTGTACCCGTCGTCAGAGTCACGGATTCCGCAGAAGAGCTACGCGCGCTTCTGGATGCATTATACGACCCAGGGTGAGCGCTGAGCAGTACCATCAAGCACTTATTCTACTGGCTTATGGTTGCCTTGTGCCCGACAGATCGCTGTCCATCTCGCGGTGGAACCCAGACGCGCCGCTGCTTCTAGCTCCAGTCATGAGGCTTGCCACCAAGTACCAGGTTGATTCTGTGCGGAAACGTGTCGTCGGGATTATCGAGGACAGCTGGCCGCGCTCTTTCGAGCAGTGGCTGCGGTTCAATGGCGAGGTTTCTGCGTTGCAGAAACTGTACAAAACTGGGGACAAGTCGCTCACTGGCGGCATACCCTTCGCCGATCATATTCCCGAGCCCGCCGCTGCCATTCGGTTCGCCCGCGAATTCGGGGTCTCATCCATTTTACCATTCGCGTACTACGTACTCGCTGGTATCCCATCGACTAAGGATTGGGACAGGTACCACCACATATCTGCGCTCAATGACGTCCTATCAGCATTACCTGTTCGCGTCGCGCGATGGGGCCTACTCGACAACGTCGACTTGATCCGGGTTCTCAGCGGGAGAGAGGAGCTTGTTTGGCACATCGTGTCCAACAAGGAGTGGGTCGACATCCACACCGTGAAGACAGCACTCATGAACAGTGAAGAGAACTGCTCTGCGGACGACTCTAATCTCTGCAGCACTAGAGCAGACGAGGTGCTGAAGAGGTGGGAAGAGGATATGTCCGTGCCCTCACGAGCAGTTGGGTGTCCTGACCCTCTGAACGTCCTCGAGCATATGTGTAATGGCCAACAGGCGTGGGGTTTGTGTGAGGAGTGTACAGCTGAAATGCAGAGATGGATCCGGGAGCAGCAGAAGGGGATCTGGCACACGCTGACTGACACTTTTCAGCTACAGTAGGTTTCGTATTATATGTTGTACTTTTGATAACGATGAACCACTCATCCGAACCGCGCCATGTTTGATCTCAAGCACATCCAACTAGGCTGCTATTATACTATCGCCGCCCCAGTACGTATCACCACACGTACCTGGAGGGTAAGCGTATTTGACAACTTTGAACTGACAAATCGCGACAAACGGCTCCGAGTCATTATTCGCTCGGAATCAGCTAGTGTTTCACTATTTCGTCTCATAAGCTAGTAGATCGTTTGATCTCTATTTTAGAGTAGTCAGACTCAGCTGACGAAGCGGGAATTACATATCGGACGAATTGTTGTCCTCATCGCAGGTACATACCACTTTGCTGCGTTATACACGACATGGTGCTTATAACTGTATCTAGTTATATACTTGAACAGTATGTAGGGCTAAATGCAACGCTTATCGAATGCTCAGCAAAATATCCCACAATCGAGTGTCCTCCGAGCCGTGGGGGCGATGATCAGGTGATCCTTCGGCGCACCTCATACGGGCGGTCATAAGTTTACTGTCTGCCATGACCACTCCAACCATCCTCCGCGACAGCAAGTTTTATCTCCATGACAGAGATCTTATGAATTACTCAGCCCCTTCACAGGAGCATTCAGTGACCGTGTGACAGCCTTCCGCATCCACAAGCAGGTCATGGCGTACGATTCGCCGATCTTCCGAGGCATGCTCAACTTACCTGCGGTCGCGGAAGTGTGGAAGAGATACGATGGTACACCCATTGTGAGGGTCACAGACACCACAATGGAGTTGCACGCACTCCTGGACGCGTTGTACAATCCAGGATGAGTACTACACGAGGTTCCGTATGGCAGGTCTGCTGGTCTCTGGTACGCCTTGTGCTCGAAAGATCACTTTCCGTCTCGCGCTGGGACCCGGATGCGCCGCCGCCGCCGACACCTGTCTTTAAAATCGCAAAAAATAGTCGATTCTGTGCAGAGGCGTGTCGTCGTGATCATTGAGGACAGCTGGCCGCGTTCCTTCGACCAGTGGATGCGCTTCAACAGTGAGATCTCTGCCCTGCCGCCACGACCGTCCAACAGTGGACACGTCAGCAGATCGTGTAGCACGATGGTCTCTACTCGATAATGTCGATTTGACTAGGACGATGAATGGCAGAGAGCGACTCAATTGGTCTGTAGGGCTGATTCTGGAGCTGGCCGACCTCGATATCGTGCAGACGCATCTTAGGGAAGCATGGCGCCTTTCGAGCGAGGGTGGCTCTCCGTCGTGCTATACTAAAACAGGTCAGGTTTTGGAGAAGTGGAAACAGGACGGAGTTGTGCCCTTGCTACTCGAGACAGCCGGATGTCCAGACCCTCTGCGCATCCTGAAGAATATGTACAATGGCCATCCCACGTGGGATCTGTATTGGAACTGGAGGAATGAGCCGCAGAAGTGGACTCGAAGCAAACAGAACAAGATCTGGAACTCATTGACCTGGGATTTTCAGCTGCGGTAATTATGTTTATATGCTACGCTTTCGACAGCGACAAAGCAACTCAATGAACTGTAGGATGGGTGGTCCGACTTTCAGTGGGATAGATTACACACGTGCCGTACCACACTTCCTTCGTACCTGTGGAACCCTTGTGGATTACCAGCGATAGTTGCAGCTATGCTGGAGACGGCGGCGACAGCGTATGCGGCCGCATACTGCCGGCGATCGGCATATAGCAGTAGATAGTGGTATGTGTATGTGGAGATTAAGTACATACAGTAGCAAACGACATAGATGAAAACGACACGAAAGGCCGTTGTCATCTCGACCTCGCGCGCATTGTCACGGATTGAGCATCTCCGTGAACTCATCTCGTAAGAAACAAGATCTTCTGCTGGCGCCGAATCTCCTTCGGATATCGCTGACGCATGGGGCGCAAAGCAAACCCTCACCCGTTCGCGAGCCATACAGCCTGCCTAGTAGTCCCAACGGGTTAGGGCAACTCTTGCAGGCCATGTTAGACGCGCTGTGTAGGATCTCGCCTCTTCATCTCGCCTCTTCATAAATCTGCAAGCTCGTTCGCACTCCATGGTCGTAGTAGAGCATTCAGGAGAGCGGCTTCCGCGAGTCGGCATGCCGGTTAATGATAAGCATGAGACAGTTGGCGAGCACCCGGTTGATTGCCAGGGGCCGTTGATAGTAGGTGCTAGCGCGCAGTACGAGCGCCGGGTTGCGTTCGCGTGGCCGCATCTTTCTGCATCGTTGTCCCAATCTTTGTCGTTGCTAATCGCCGTGAGCGTGGAGAATGCGAACAGCAGAATGGTCAGAATGCCATGATCTCGGGCCGACGAATGGCGGATGCAGGCCCGAAATGCGCTTGTCTGACCACTTGGCAGCGAGGTCTTGGCCGCAGTGGTGGCACCCGGGCTCCAGTGCGGCGACCTCAGCCGCGGAGCGCGGTCAGTCCGAGAAGGGGGCCGCGTTTCCGTTTGAAGCTTCATCGCACTCGAGAGCTTGAGGGGCATGTCTGGGTCCCAGCGCTGGACAAAGAGAGAACTGAGAATCGCTTCATACGTCCCGGCGTGTCTGCATGCCATGCGGCAAATGGTGCACTTACCTGGGGTTGTACAGGACTTCGATAAGTGGCTGGAGGTCCTCCACACTGTCCGTCAGCTGGACAAGAGGTACACCGTCATACATCTCATGCGCAGACACACTGCAGGACAGAGCGAGTATGTGTCAAAGGACCGGCGAGTAATACACCAGCATCGTCTTATGTACCCTGTCCTCCTCGGAGCCGAGTACAGAACGAGGTCACCACTGGCATCAAATAAGTGGAAGTGAGGGTCGCAGACGGCAGCCATGGTAGCGGGAAGAGAATCGGAAGGGAGGAGAGGCGGCGCATCAAAATGATATATCAAAAAGCGCTGATCCGCCCTCCGTCGCCCTGACATCGACGCCGCTGCGCTCCGACTACCACATGCGGGCCATAAACCGGCACCGATCTTGGTGTTTTTCTCATAAACCCTCGTGTTCCTTCAGCACGGGCACCGGGAAAAGCAAGGACGAGTGCTCGTCGGGCAAACCGAAGCTCCACCTTCACAATATGAGCATCTGAAGCATACGTGCACTACGATACGCTTCCTCTGTAGTGAGGTATAGTACAACCCTTGGCCAAATAGTATATGAAAGCTATGAATAGAATCTTTGTGAGCTCGTCAGCATCTCGGTTGCGGCGTCCGTCGAGCGACTTACCCGCAGCCTCCTCTGAGTCAGCATGATTCCGTGAGAAGGACACCGGTAACAGAAGAAGAAATCTGACACATATATAAGCCCGATTTCGGAGTAAATATAAGCTGGTACTCACGCCGCCTAGCCAAGAAAAGAAAAGAATGCACCGAATCCGGGACGACGGCTATGGTGAATCCTCTCCGAAGCCGTCATACACATGAGCTAAGGGCGATTGCGGCGGGATGAAGTATGACTGGCACGCCTCGAGGCGCATCCCGAGTCGCCGTAGCACCTGCCGAACGCGATATTCCACGCATGACGGCTGCTCCTCCGATGCGCGCTGCAGCGCGGCAGAAAGGGCGAGGATGTAGACCTCGTTTGGTGCTTGGTCCGGCTCGTCCGTCGGTATCATCGGCATTGGCTCTGAGGCGTTTGCGGATGCATTTGCTATCTCCGACAGCTTCGCATATATGTTTCGCGCATCGTCTGACCCGACGAGCTGCGTAAGGTCCTGGGGAGCCTGTCCAATCAACGCCCGGCCAGCAGACACAGACTGGCGTGCGCATACCTTCAGTGCGGACCATGAGCACCCTACATGCTCGCGGTCAAGCTTTGGGTGAAGTTCGACCATTTTGTCCGGTGAGCTGGCAATGCAGAGGTGATTTGAGGGAATGGGGCAAGAGTCGGTAGACTCGCCATTAGCTCGTTCGGGCTCTATTTAAGCTCAAGCTCGCCGGTTAGCGTGATGACGATGAAGTGTACAACTCATAATTACCCGAACCGGTGGCTCGCTATGGACTAAACATTGCTTATGTCGTGGTTCGTGGTCAGAACAGAGGGCGCCTCGCGCGTGGGGATCGCATTTGAGTAAGCGGGGGTGAGTCACTCGGACTAGTAGACGCTCGGGAGAGCAGTCATTTTGCATGACATTCACGGGAAGGTTGTGATGGACCACCACTCATGCTGCAACCTCGGCTGTGAAAAAGTTGTTTGCTTATGCAACTCTTATCGTTGCTGCACAAAGCCTAAGGTAAACGTCTGTAAGCGTGCGGGGAAAAATGAGTAACATAACCGACTGGCTCTTCAAGTTCGCCGGGTATTCTTGTGCGCTGGCAGACGGACCTGGGTGCCTTCTCGGTGGCTCGTACAGTAGCTCTCGTGAGACAACCGAGAAGTAGTAGGAGCACCATGTCTTAAGCATAGAAGATTTTCTCGGTACAGTTCGCCGTACAGTTCGGCCTCTAAAATGCAGGCGCGGTACTAGTCTGGCGCTTCTGTGTTCGCTCTAGAAACCAAAGACGGGACGACTGAGCGATTACATCCTGGACGCTGGACATGCAGCCTGAATGGCTCTGCGTGGTGGCTGGGAAAACGAGATAACACGGCCGCCCGTGATTTATGACGTCCCACGACAAGTGACGCGGACGCCGTGGCCGCGCTAGTGGCTATCAGCTGTCGCTTGCCAGCAGCCAGCCAAGCTTTGACCGAGAACTGCGCACACCCATGTCCGCTGAAGGAGGTAGCGGGTAAGCGTACACAAATCCTAATTAGCTGTGCTCCCCAGCCCAGACACAACTCTTGAACGTTGATTCGAACCCCACATGCATAGGTCGGCGCCAGCGCAGAGGTATGTCCCTCGCTTCAAGCGGGACGCGAACGCCGTGCCAAGTTTCAAGCTATACACACAAAAAGAAATTGTAAACGCAATCCCTGGACAGGGAACACACACGTTCACCAGGGCGTTTATACCCGAGGCAGACGCGACTCCCGCCGCGGATCTGCCGTCAATGTCTCCAGGCGACAGCGCCGTCGAGGCTGATGACAACACTGCAGACCATGAACACCCGCAGCGGGCCCTGAGAGACGAGTTCTGCCGGATCATGGTGCACGACAAGGCGCATCTGGCTCCCCCAAAAGAGCTGTGGACGCGCCACAACATCACACAACTCGACATGAACGTTGGACGACCCGTGCCTCTCTTCCAGGAGAGCGCAGCGCGAAGGCATGCATTCGAGTTCCTGGGGTGGTATCGCATCGTGCGCTGGGAACTATGCAAGGGCGGGAGCAAGGAGGTGCGGGCGTTCGTGGCGAAGAGGAAGGTGTCGCAGGTCGATAAGCCGTGGGAATACTGGACGGGGGTGCTTGGGCACGATTGGGCAAGAGTAGAGTTGGAGAAGGTGAATGATTCGTCGCTGTGCAATCCTATGGAGGGCCGCAGTCAGAACAGATGATTCGGATGGTTTGAAATATCTGCAGAGCTCTGGAATCGACTTACTTCATCAGTCCTGCATGTATGTCGTTCAAAATGAGTCATGCATACATGTTGTCATGGGATACGTTTCTTGGCCGCCATATGATCAGGAATCTAGTGGCCCCGTTAGTCTTGTACGCCGGCCACTGACATTTTGTATGACGCGCCGGATGCCAAGCCAAGTCTGTTCGGAAATCACTCCATATCTTTCTGAGGGAAGCGGTATTGCTCGTCGCGGTCTCTGCCAGCTACGCGCAGTTCCGACTGACCGCGCCACCTGTCCTGGGACTGAAGCAACCTGTGCAGAATGAGAAAGGGACACGTACGGCAGTCCCGCCGCACAGAATTCCGGATACTAGAAGCGAAGCTATTGTCCAGTTCCCCACAGACTACCCTCAAGTGCTGAGTACATATGGCCGCTTGCTCGCAAGGGCCGCAGGACTTATCTTTCCCCGGATCGCCTAGTATCCAAAGATGTCGCCCATCGCCGCCTGCTCCTTCGAAAGCCGGTACTTTCCCTGGTAGCATTGAAGCATCTCGCTGTCGCGGAGAAGGCTAAAACGTGCGAGTTTGCTCGGTGTAGAGGCGTTCGGGCGAGGCACTGTTTTGTCAGCATCATAGTTGACGTCTGCGTCCAGGGTGGAGAAGTTGTAGTAGGAGTAGGCTGCCGGAAGAATAAGCAGGACAAAAAAGTCTACCGTCAGCCGGATCGCCGAGGGAGGCTCTGGAGATATCTTGTAAAGTCGCTTGGCTGCGAGAACGTCCTTCCTTAGCCGTATGAGCTCGTTCAGGTCGGCGGTCATTTCGACTCGAGGTGGTTTTTGATGGCTTTGTAGAAGGCGTTGAGGTGATAACAGGCATAGAAAAATAAAAACTGGATTTTCAAGGATCTTGAGAGCAGAACATACCCGAGACTGTAGAGTACCTTGAAGAATTTTGCCGCGTCCGTCGGGCCGTCTGGGAAGCGGGTACACTTTCGTATGACTTGCATCCGCCAGCCCAGTTAGTATGACAAGCATGTCAGCAAATATGGGCAAGTGCTACGCGATGATCGCTGTGTGGGTGCGAAATTTTGCCTCTCGAGTGGGGCTCTAAGTGGAGACGACCAGATTGCCGTTCGCAAGATAAAGCGAGGGGTGCCGCTCACTCACTTCTCGGGCAGTCTTGACACCATATGAGCCCCGAGATAGGCATATGAACTGTTCAGATTGCGCTCGAACGCTGCACGGCGCCGAGGGTATAGCACAACAGCTCAGCAGCACTCTGGATAAAATAAGTTACAATTGCATCAGTGGAGAAGATATTAGAATATAGGCATAAAACAGATTGGGTATTAATACACACTCCGATACTGCACATTATTCGCTTTCGCCATTCTGAGCAGCAGATCAAAGCGGAAGGCATTGAATCCTGTAATGCGGATGCCTGACTCCGAGTCTGTGTGCAATTTCAGCGAATGCTGTCATATCTACGTGACAGCTTGCAGATTTCTTTCAATTTGCAGCAACATCAGAACATACCCCCGCACCCAATTGTATGGATTTGCAGGCCTCGAGTAATGCCGGGCAATTTTTTTCAGGGGAGCAGGGCGAAAGCAAACAGAGTTTGGTATAAGTAGACGGATTTGGCTGAATAACTCCCACGATATCTCGCCATCGTCTGCAGTTCCAGAAGCGCTACTCTTCGACGAACATGTTGCTCAACGCCATAAGACCCTCAACGGTAACTCCCACAAGCTCCATATACACATGTCCCAGACGTACGAAGCAGAAAAACAGGTAGCCGTCGCCGCCGTCAGGCGTGCATGTGCCCTGACTGCCTCGGTCTTCAACAAGCTCGTCAAGAACGAGACATTGACGAAGGAGGACAAGAGCCCGGTCACGAGTGCGTCGCTTCCGTGCCGATAATGTGAATTATACTCATGTCATGCAGTTGGGGACTACTCCGCACAAGCTGTCATCTGCACCATCCTCAGCCGCGCTTTCCCGGACGACCCTATCGTCGGCGAAGAAGATGCCGCCGACCTGCGTCCCGAAAGTGGCGCAACTTTACGCAATCGCATCGTCGACCTCGCGAATGAAACGCTCACGGCGCCACTGCAACACGGGGAGAAGGAGGAGTGGGGGCTAGGTCCGAGCCACGCCCAGAGCCCGGAGCAGATCATGGACATCATCGACCGCGGGAACTATGGTGGCGGCCAGACAGGACGTGCGTCTCATGTTTTAGTTCTCATGCTCAATGCTGACCCGTCACAGGTTTCTGGACACTCGATCCGATCGACGGCACGAAGGGCTTCCTCCGTGGCGAGCAGTACGCCGTCTGCCTCGCGCTCATCAAAGATGCACGCGTTGAGCTTGGTGTCATGGGCTGTCCGAACCTCCTGGTGGACACTTCGAACGCTGACGGACCGCGCGGCTGCGTGTTCGTTGCGGCGCGTGGCGAGGGTGCGTGGCAGCTCCCGCTTGCCGCGAGCGATACGAGTGCACCTGTGCGCCTGACTATCCCGGCGTTCACGAAGGACACGCTCAACCTGCTCGAGAGCGTCGAGAAGGCACATTCGAAGCTCTCGTTCAACGAGCGCGTCGCAGAGCTACTCGGCGTGACGCGTGCGCCGACGCGCATGGACAGCCAGGCCAAGTACTGCTCGCTTGCCCGCGGCGACGGCGGAGTCTACCTGCGCATGCCCACCGGCACCGGGTACAGGGAGAAGATTTGGGTACGTTCACCGTGCTTTCCAATGCACGTATAATCTGACGCTTGCTAGGACCACGCGCCTGGATCTGTTCTGATTGAAGAAGCGGGCGGGGTGATCACTGACTCTCGAGGCCTGCCGTTGGACTTCAGCCTTGGTCGCACCCTCGGCGAGAATTTTGGTGTGGTAGCTGCAGGCAAGGCTGTTCACACCCAAGTGCTTGAGGCCGTGAAGAAGGCCAAAGAGGAGGAATCTGCACGGTAAAGTCCGCATTAAATGCTCCTGTGTCACTCATGTAGAAATAGTCTGTAGGATATGAATATTGTTCGTCCCTCACTCTTTACTTCCGAACTGTCGATCTGCTGCCCTCGTTTGTCCGTCTACCCAAAGCGACGCAACCCGACCCTTCATCTACTCGAGACAGACATGCTGACACCGAGTAGCGAAGACAGTAAGTTATCCAGTCTTGGGCACTTTGCTGCTCGGGTCTTGTCCAAGCACAGACTGGAGACGTCCAAGGCCTGCCTAGAACACACTAGTCCACGTCGTAAGTGGTGTATACTGCAATACTTTACCGGCAAGGCTCACGATTGCTCCTTTTTAAGTATTATTTCTTGAAAACGAGTATCTGCGTTTCCACGAAGTGCTCGGTGCAATGGATGAAAGCGGAGCAGCCGGTCCATGTATATCGGAACTCGGACGAGTATTTTCCTTCTCGGCCATTTCAGCGTGCTGGACTTCGTTGATCAGAGACTGCGTCAGACATCGAAGGCAATGTGCGATCTGTCCTCTCTCTCATCTTCTTCGCCACAAATATCTCCCCGACGTCCTTGTCCCATCGGCGTCCCAGTCAACCGTCCCACAGCGTATCCGCTCGGCCATGAAGCCCTTAGCACGCTCTCCGTCAATCACGAGGTCTGCCTGCTCGATCCGGAGGATGTCTACGGATGCAGATGCCGCAATCTAGACGAGTCTCGACGAGCTTAGAATCGAGCGGAAAGTATTGTATGTCTTCTTTCCTATCGGAGCGGCTCAAAGTAATGCGACCAGCGCTATTGAAGCTCATCACTTAGATATCTGGAAGCCCTACTTACAGTGACAGCGTTCTAAATACCCCTCGAGTGCTTGAGTACCAGGTTCATTCTTCTTCCCTTACTACCGCTCTTTCTCCGATTCCGCGGCCATAATGGCCAGAATTATGTTCTATCTGTTCTACTCACATTCTCACCCGGTTGCTTCTACGGCAGTGTGAGATTACTGTGCCTTTTCAATCTAATCGGCAGCTGGTATGACTGTGACCGCGCACAACCGAAGCGGTGACAACGGCGTTGACCGACCGAATTTTGGTAGGTTTCAAGGGTACGCCGCGGGTCCAAAATATTTGGCCCGCGTACGGTACCTGTCACACACCGGCGAGCTCTTCTGTGACCCATGATAGAGGCCTTCAAGCGGCGGATTTGAGGCTCGGGTGACTGACCGTCGTTCCGGTCGAAGGTCCGCAGTACCCAGGAGACTACCATACAGGAGCTCCTCGAACACGCCAATTCTCACCTCCCAGTTAAATTGGACAAAGTCACTCTCCTCAGGGTGTGCATGTATGCGCTCATCTTTCGAGTAACGCTGACAAGCGTTATCAGCTCGCCTTTCTTTCTCGATGACACAATACTCTCAACTTGCTGGTTCCCTCACAACGAAGAGCCGTCTGAGTTAATCGATATCATTATATTTACTCGAGAGTATGTTGTTAAGTTGCCGCTATTAGATCGCGGTCACAGCTAGTGACATGGTTGACTATCTAGTCACGGAAGGTATGCATACACTGGGCGAAACGTGATCTGACCCATGACGTGTCGTTGCAAGTAACCCCTTGGTTGAGCTTGAGACTCAGCCACTGCCCCCACACAAGCTTGCGGAATCGCTCAGACGCGCATCTCAGCAATTTTGTACGCAAGCTCAGAGCTGCTGTCACAGCACGGTTCTTGTGACAGAAAAAGTATGTCGACTCCGTACATTTGCGTACCTGGCTGGCATTCATCTCCGTGGCATAGCGACCAGCGTGTTTTCCCCCGGGCATGCATCTTAGAAGTGCATCACGCCACCCACCATTCAACCAGCCCCGTGCCATTCCTACCACCCCAACCACCCCGTTACCTATTCCCAGCCGCCGCGTCCTTCTCGCGCCCCACATCCCACAGGCCGGGTCACTGTCTCCTGTGATGAGGCTGACACTGACCAACCTTTCACATTACAACGTACGTAGTTCGAACTGATGACGGGGAATCAAGCTGAGGAGCAAAGCGGCAGTTGGCGATACGCTGGCCAGACTGCTCCAGCTCTGCATTGGCTTTGCAGCCCGGCTATCCTCACAATTCGCCTTGCCTTCACGGCGGCAATATCCGGCATTGGTCGCAGGCTGTTCTGATCTAGCTTCTCTCATCCGCGCTGCATACTACAAGAACATTGTCATGCAGTCCTAGCCTCCGAATCAGTGCGGCATAACCACCTCATGGCCACCCAGTACATCATGGGCTGCCTGCACGGTGACCACACCGAGCGGCGAACTGTCATTACTCATCGACTCATGATGAACCCACTACTTCTTTGCATTGCGCACCCCGCAATTACAGGATGGTGATGTAAAGATAAGCTCCACATCCTTCTATTTACATGACCTACTCATCCGCAACTTCAGACTTGAAACCGTGGCCGTCAGACAAACTTCAGCGTAGAGCATTCGGCAAACTAATCATGAACTCTCGGCCAGACACCACAAAGCTGCAGCAATTTGCCTGTCCATTTTGGCACCTTGACAAGTACATCCCGTACTCGAATGCCCTCTTTCCGGGAGAATCAGTGGGAAGACCCTTCTCGCAGAATGTAGCGATCGATTGGAAGACGAGTGCGTCGTTCGTTTCAAAGCTCGTCTTCGTACAGACCAAGGAATTGACGTACACAGCCGCCGCACAGCAGCCATTATTCGGCTGCAGTCGCGCTATCCGACTGTCTCGGAGTGAGCGGATATTGCGCTTTCCGTGGTCACAGGCACAGGTCCCAAGGTCTACCCGACTACCCGTTAGGGCTCAGCGCTGGGCCCGCGAGGACGCTGAGCAAGTGATTTTCAGCTCAGTCGTTGGAGGACGCGGGGTATATAAACCATCAGATCTCAACGATGCTAGGGCAGCAGCGAGCCCACTCAGTCTTTTCTCAAGCACCCATCCAACCACTCAAGTTATCCGAGATGTTCTCTTCTGCCTACGCTCTCGCCATCTTCTCGTCGCTCGCCGTCGTCGTCCAGGCTTTCAACCTCGCCATCCGCTCACCGAATCCCCACTCCCACAAGAGTATTACCAGCCAGAGTGTCGCGTTCGCCTGCTTCAGCGGTGAAAGCGGCTGCCAGTGTCCCACTGACCTGAACGGCGACAGTGGCGTCCTGATCAACGTCTACCCAGGCTACCAGTGCGCGTACCCGAACGGTGCCTGCACCTGGGACGACGAGGTTTGCGCCGTTATCGTCCTTCGTATGTACCGAGGCTTATGGTGGCTTCCCATCAAACTAGACCGGCGCTCTCCAGAACATCGACCAGACTAACTGCCCATCTTCTGCGCCTTGTAGCGCGGCCGGAGACTGTTCATGTCCGTTGGATAACGACGGGGACATAGGTGTGCTCATCAATCAGTTCACTGGCTACCAGTGCGCGTACCCGGATGGTGCCTGCACCTGGGACTTTGTATGTCATCCGATGTATGCGTTGCTTGGTAGTATACTGAGGTTCTCTTCTTTGTAGGACGGCAACCTCGAGAATGCTCAACAGACGAATTGCCCCACTGACGCCAAGTGTGTTCAAACAGGTAGCGACTTTTAAAGACATCTCTCTTTGTTCTGCCGGAATACGATTCCCCCTCTTTCCTGACATCCTTCCCGGTCAATATGTGATGCTTCAACTCATCACCACGTTGTAATCTTTACTCATTCCAGGCGTAGTACCGCCTGTTTATCTTTGGCCAAGCTCTGCGCATCTAGTAATAGTCCCACAGTTGTACAAGAAATATGCATGCCTTGCCTTAGTTGATTTCATTGGTCGCACTGGCATGGCACGGGCCATTGCAGAATCTGAGCGATCAAAGCCTCCGTTTGCAACTGTCCGCTGAGCTTTCTCACTCTGTCATTGACATGAGCCGCATCTACTGCCTGCATGACCCGCAAAGAGCCGGCCAGAGAGCGAGCTCTTGGTCGTTCGTGAAAGCACGAAAAAATTATTTTATACACAGTTGTCTATGGGTACGTGAGTGCGATGAGTAAGTTTTACAAGAGGCCGCTGCGCTGCGCTCCGCGACTGCTGTCCTCGTGGATGTGGTTCTACGGGCGGGAAATTTAAGCTCAAAAATTTTCGATTTCAGGCTGCAGCATAGCCGCGCTGCGCGCGGCGTAAGCAAAGGAGAGCGGAAGCAGCGATTGGGCCCAATCAAGGAGAATGACGAAATAGGGGCCGTCGAAAGGTATATAAGGCGAGGGATGGGAGAAGGGGCCCCTGGAGCCAGTAAGACCGGGATAAGAAAATGGTTTCTTACTTTGAGGGCATCTGCGTAATAGTATGGTAATGGCGGTCATCTTATTGAGGACCTATCAGCGTCCACTAAGTGGAATAGATGAGCTTGGTGGCTTTGCAAGCAACGTTAGAAAGTATTCCAGGACCGGTGGTGCCCTGCTAAACCGTGCTCAGTTCTCTTCAACTCAGATAATTAAACTGGCATATATTCCAAATACCGTACTTAGATTATGCAGACTGTATTCAAACGTCCAACCAGGCGCACTTGTACAAGTATGCGACATTCTTGCGACGTCAAATTGAACCTCGCAAGTGTTTCACCTCACACTGCGCACGATTCGCCTGACATTCTCCTCCGACCGGCCTCAACATTCGCCTCCGAAGAAAGAGGAATCGATGGCTGAGTCACCCACGCTGCTACCTGCCGGTCGAGTTAGTCGCGTTAGATGGTATCTGCGCCGGCTTCCTGTATGGGAAACATGTCGGTAGCCACTGCGTCACGCAGAATGATTGTGGTCTCCGCCGCTCTGCAATCTCATGCAACAGCGCATGGCGCCGTTGCTGAACCTTGATGGCATGAGAAGATATTTTCTGCCTAAATTTCTAGCTAATAGCACTATGTAAATAGTTCAGCAACCTTCGCTTCGCGGAAATGTGTAAATTGGGGTTTGATTATAGCCGTTAACCTTACGCACCATAACTGGAGGCACCTGCGAAACCGGTTGACATTAGGTCTCGGTTCCAGATTCTCAACCCGGCTAATGAATCATTACAGACGATTTGTTACCACTGCATCCTAGGCTACTGCCTCCCACTTGCTCAGCGTACTGGAACCGAGACCAGGCTCATTGAACCGCCTGAGAGCGTTGCGTCAGGGCTCTTGCACCTTTCCCAAGTGGGTAAGCTGCGCTTCGTTATGTTAATTCCTCTTCCATGACCTTTTTCACGCCTTCGAGCACTTGGGCGTGGACGGGCTTGCCAGAGGCTATCACACCGAAGTTACCGTCAAGAGTGCGACCGAGACCGAAGTACAGCGGCAAGCCTCGGGAATCGGTGATTATCCCGCCCGCTTCTTCAACCAGAACGGATCCAGGGGCATGATCCTAGCGAAGCGTCAGACCGCACACGTACTTGCAAAGTATTGCAAACGCACCCAAATCATCGCCCTGTCTCTGACATCATGGGGTATACGCAGGTAGACTCCGCCATCACTGCGCGCGAGCGCGCAGTACTTGGCCTGGCTGTCCATTCGCGTCGGCGCACGTGTGATACCAAGCAGCTCCGCAACGCGCTCGTTAAACGAGCGCCGCGAGTGCGTCGCCTCGGCGGGCTCGAGCAGGTTGAGCGCGTCCTGCGCGCACGTCGGGATCGTCAGCCGCACCGGCGCACCGGGGTCGCCCGCGGTGAGCGGCAGCTGCCACGCGCCTGCCCCGCGCGCTGCGACAAACAGGCAGCCGCGCGCACCGTCGGGGCTCGACGCGTCTACAGGGAGGTTTGGACAGCCCATGACGCCGAGCTCGACGCGTGCGTCCTTAATGAGCGCGAGGCAGACAGCGTACTGCTCGCCGCGAAGGAAGCCCTTCGTGCCGTCGATTGGGTCCAGTGTCCAGAAACCTGCAACGGATCAGCATTGAGCGTTAGAGCCAAAGAGTAAGACGCACGCCCTGTCCGGCCACCACTATAGCTCCCACGGTCGATGATATCCATGATCTGCTCCGGGCTCTGGGCGTAGCTCGGACCCAGCCCCCACTCCTTCTCCCCAAGCTGTAGCGGCGCAGTAAACGCCTCATTTGTGAGCTCGACGATGCGTTTGCGCATAGCCACTCCGCGTTCTGAACGTAGGTAGGCGGCATCTTCTTCGCCGACGATGGGGTCGTCTGGGAAAGCGCGGCAGAGGACGGTGCCGATGACCGCCTGCGCAGAGTAGTCTCCAACTGTGAGGCATGTGCATAAGTGCTAATCGCCCGTTGGGCACGGAAGGCACCCACTTGTAACTGGGCTCTCGTCTTCCTTCAGCAACGTTTCGTTCTTGGCGAGCTTGTTGAAGACCGAGGCAGTCAAGGCACATGCACGCCTGACGGCAGCGATGGCTACCTGCTTTTCTGCTTCGTATGTCTGAGACATCCGGATATGGAGCCCCCGGGAGTCACCGTCGAGAGGTTTACGATGTTGGTGGCGTTGCGCAACATGTTTGTCGAGAAGTAGGACTGTCGGTATATTGCAAAATAGTGGCGAAATCTCGTGAGAACCATCTGGCCGAATTCGTCATCGAGTCTCAACGACTCTCTTTTCCCATGGTATATTCATTGTACTCTCTGCAACATGTCATTCTCACTTCGCGCATTTTGCTTATTTTAATTATTGTCCGCTACTGGAATACAAACAGATTACACATTTGTACAGTATTTATATTGATATATTAACAACAATACTATTATTTCGTTATTACCTGTGGCCAGCCATCGAGTTCGGCGCGACGACTACAGTACAAGGACAGTCCGTGAAAGTCTTTCAGATGAAAACACCTGCGATGAATCTATTGTTCGAGTAAAAGCCCTTAACTTTGTTCGGTTCGAGATGAAGGACTTGGCTTGCCCATGGGCTCAGACCGGTGAGTCCGGGCAAGAGCACTGCGCCCGCAGACTCCAGGATGGCTCTGTCCAGCTTCACCTCATCTCTGTTGAATGCCTGTTGAAGACGTCAGGGACTGCACTTGGGTGGTATCGAAGAGACGCCTACCGTGAAGACACTGGGGACCTTCTTCTCGACAAGGGACTTGATAGTGGGCAGCCAGGACTCAGTTTCTTCGGAGCCGCAGCCGGAATTAAAGGCGATGGCGAGGTTAGGCGTGGTATACGCGCTGCCTTGAGATGCGACAAAATCATGGTATAAGCTTAGGCTGATTAGAACGCACAATTGATATTCTACGCGACTATGCTTTACCTGGCGTAGTGGTACTGCACGCGCTGACGGCCTCGGCGGAAGCAGCGTGGACAGGTGTCCATAACAACCGGAGTGCCGTCCTTAGCCTTTACGGTCTTCATCTCCGGACCAATGAGTACCAGCTATGAAAGTGATTCAGTACCTTCGGCTATGAAGGTGGAAAGTCTACTTGCATTCAACTTATACACTGTTGGAAGTCTGTGAAGTATCTCTTCAAACTGCATGGCTCGCATGAGCTCCTCTTGGGTGGCTCCGAGCACCTATTTCCGCGGAACAATGTCAGAGTCAAAGCAGCTGCGGACACAAATGGAACTTACATGAATAGTCAAGATGGCCTTCTTTGTCCAGGCATCGCCTTCGTTCAACTTCTCGAGAGCCCAAAGTATTGTCATCGGGAACGCGAGCCCGTCAGTCGCGGAGCACAAGAATGGCCCTACCGCAAGAGGAGGCAGACCCACGTCCTGCAATTCAGCAGCATGTTCGCCTTCCCATGTGCGGCCATCGAGCGACTCCCACTTGCGTTTCACGCGCTCAGGGGCCCAGCGCACCGGTTCGTCGGATCCGCCCATAACTTCGCGGACGATGGAGTCTTGTCGGATGTTGAAATTGACTTCACACTGAGACAGACCCCGAGCAGAGTCGGGATCAGGAACATGCGAGTGAGCGTGTTGAGCGAAGATGCGATGTTCCTCTCTGTTAGGCGTCACCGTAGTTCAAGCACACGAAGTACTGACCACAAATAAAATCACGTACGAGCAGAAGAAGAAAAGCCTGCAATTTGCGCAAGGTTTCAGTGACGCAGCAGGGCTACCTGCTGCTCGTATGTCTTCTTCGGTGCGTGCGCTGGTCCAAGTCAGGTGCGTGGTAGAGCTATCAATGAAAATATTTACCAGGCCAGGCATCGAGGCTCCCAGCCAATGAGATTGCGCTCCATGACCGTTAATTCACGACCGAGACTGAGACCGAGAATTCTCATCTTAGATTGCACGCGCTTGTTCGCTCTGTCGTTGAGGACAGATACGTCCTCTGTCGGCTCGCCCGACGGTTGATCTAAGGCCGCTATGTCGCTCTGCATTTCACAATATGCTGAGCATAAAGCCTTGTGCGTCTTCCAATTCGCTTTCTGGCATCCTACAGTAGGGGTCGTTCAAGATCAGCTCGTACTCCTACATATTAAACAGCTCCTGGGCGGCATATCGGCACTATCGTAACACACACGTCTGCAGCGGGAGCATCGTTTTAAGGCGCTGTCATCCGTTCCGGGCTTGAAGCAATAGTAGCAAGCTTGGTGTATGCGAGTAAGCAATGGAGGCACTCTTTCCTCCTGCATATATGCCATCCTGTATGGAATCACACGGGATCATTCGTCACTGGTCATAAATTGGCAAGGAAAAAGCTTACTCATAGCTAAAATTCATGTCTCTTCGAGTGATTCACTGAACTCAGCCTTGTGAACCGAGTCGCTTCCAGCTAGCTAGGGGACCCCTAACACGGCACTATCAAGGCGCTAGTCTCCTGGGAGCACCTACGATATATTACGGCAGAGATATAGCGATAATACCTTCACACGTCTGCGACTATATATGTCATTTGTGAGAGGTCGACTTGGCTGGGTGAGAGATGCATAGAGGTGATGATGAAGGCAAGGCTTGGGGAAGCATAGCACAGGAGGTATTTCTTAGTGCAGATCATATATTCTCAATGGTCCCTTAACCCCCAGTCCGATATGGTGTAACGGCTAACATTATCGCCTTTCACGCGATAGCTCGGGGTTCGATTCCCCGTATCGGAGTATTTTTTCTCTTTAAATCCCTTCTAAGGCTCCAACTGTTTTGTTTGTTTACTGTGTATAAACGTTTATTACTGTTTACCGTTTCCGTGTGTGTAAATGAAGTCATGTAAACTTGGTGTAAATGTTTATACACAGTAAACATACAGTTTCCTCTTATTGTTTGTAAAAGGTCTTAGTGTTGTACATTCATAGTCTTGCTAACAGACTTGACCTTTATTGGGCTGAAGAGTGCATCGCACCGCCTGTGCATCGTCCTCGGGCAGCCTCTTTGAACCCCCAAGCCCGGTGCACTGTATCAAGCGCCTATGCCCTGAGACTTACTGGGAGTAATGGTAGTCATGATTCTAACTTGTATTGAGCACAGTCTGAAGGCAAGCATTAAAAATATAATATAATGTGTATTTATTGACTGCTCCTCTACATATAGTCTACTGTGGGCACTGGCAGCCTGCCTGCAAGAGTGCGGTATGCAGGAATGTCGTGA